CATCCCCTGCATCAGTTCCAGATGGAAATACATCAGTTTCCAGACTGGATGTTTAATTTTAAGTTTGTTTCATGAAGTAGTGCTGTCTCAGAGAATATGTTTTTAATTTAAATTGATAACTGAAGTAATTTATGTTCTCTGAGAGCATCTGTATGCCTAGACATGGGCTTTACCACTGATTAAGGTGGAAGATTTACATGAAAGCCTTGCCAAAACATTGGCATTACCTCTACAGGCTGTGCACGAAGTCTTGTTCTGTTGCCATCACAATCACTTGGGGCGTGGATTTGCTGTGTTTGCATCTGTACTTCAGGCACTTGTGTAATGTAATTTGAAAGCAAGTAACTTTGCATGTCCGTTGCAGTGTTCCAACTCCTTCGCAACTGTGCCTTGTTCTTTTGTGTCCAGATAAACCATTTGTTCCTGTGACCTCTTGGTCTAAAACCCAAACTTGCTATTAAAGAGCTTCTTCAGTTGCAGCCACACGCATGTAATTTGTTCAGGCTTTGCCTCTGTGTGGCAGAACATTTATATTCATTGTTAGTTGCTTCCATAGCTACCAAACAGAGGCAGAATCACTATGCAACAAGGCAAGAGGAAAAAGTGATAAACTTGTTGAACATGTTGCATGAATACCTCTTAGCTGAGTTCACAATTTAATACTCTCCTTTACAAAGAAAATGTGTGGTGGGCACCTCACTGTCAGGGCCTTCAGTGAGTTTCCTCTTGTTACTGCTTCTGGTTAAATGAGTGAATAAATATTTCAAGAATTGCACTGTTATTACTTATTCTAATTCAATTATTGACTGAACTTAATCTTACTTTCAATTAGCCTTATAATGCTTCTGAATTATTACCTCATTTTTGCAAGGAATAAGGATGCACTTCTTCAGGGCAGAGAATGTTGCAAGCATATGAGTAGTCCACTTAATTCGGTCACATAATCTCATTGTTAAGATGGAGAATTCTGCTGTCACTAAAACTTTTGTGTGATTGCTGTGAATGTATCATGTCCCACTGTATCTTTTAAAAGTCATTACGTGTAGAAATATACTGTAAATACTTAAATGAACAACAGGGAGAGTTCCTAATGATGTGCCTGTAATATCAAAAATGGCTTAAAAATTTACTGTTCGTTTTTTTTCCTTTCTAGCAAACTTCTGAAGAGAAGGAAGTCTGAAACGGGGCTGCAGGGGGTGACCGGAGAATGGTTTCAAGAAATGCAAAGACAAAAATTTCACAATTATGTTGATGTCAATAGGATGCTAAAACCACCACTGGAACATCAGCTAAGGAAGAGCAGAAACACTGGTGAGTTGCATTTTTCCATTTCCTTATCTATATTTACCATAATGGTCACCGAGCCAGTGTCTTGGATTTCACAGTGTAGTAGCTAAGGAGTTTCTGAAACGACGGTGAGTTTTCTTTTCATGTCAAAGTTTTACCAAAGGTGTATTTCAAAAATACTGTTTCTTTAAGCCAATTCTGTTAAAAACACAGCTGGGAGTCACAACAGAAAATCCCTGATGTTCTTATCCCATAGTCAGAATCATAGATTGGCCCAGGTTGGAAGATGGTCTAGTTCAACCTTTTATGAGAAAGGAAGCCTGGAATGAGATTATCTAGCACCCTGTCCAGTCGCATCTTGTAAACTTTCAGTGATGGAGACTCCACTGTGTACCTGGGAATGTTGTTCCAGTGATTGATTGTCATCACTGTAAAAGATTTCTTTCTTAATCAAGATGAAGTTGCTGTAATTTTAGTAAATATAGTGGTGGTTTCCCAATCAAAGCAATAATGATTACTTTGCACAAAAATATCATGGTTTAACTCCAGTTGGCATCTCAGCACCATGGAGGCGCTTATTCACACCCTCCCCAGTGGAACAGGGGAGAGAATCAGAAAGGTAAAAGTGTGAAAACTCAGAGGTTGAGATAAGGGCAGTTTAACAGGTAAAGCAAAAGGCATGCCCAAAAGCAAAGCAAAACAAGGAATTCATTCATCACTTCCCACAGTCAAGCAGATGTTCAGGCATCTCTAGGAATGCAGGGCTCCATCATGTGTAATGGCTACTTGAGAAGACAAATGCCATTACTCCAAATGTGCCCTCTTCGTTCTTCCCTGAGTTTTATGCTGAGCATGATGCCATATGGTGTGGAACAGTCCTTGGGTCAGCTGGGGTCAGCTGTCCCAGCTGTGTCCCCTCCCAAATCCTTCTCCTCCCCCAGCCTACTGCTGGTGAGGTGCTGTGGGCAGCAGGGAAGTTTTTGACCCTTTAGTTACTGCCCAGCAGTAACTAGAACATTCCTGTGTTAACAACAGTGCTGTCATCACAAAACACAGCCCTCTACCAGCTATTATAGAACAAAATTATCCAAGCTAAAACCAACCCAAGAAGACTTTTTAATCTAGTTTTCCTAAAGAAACTAGAAGCACCTAAACGACATTTGGAATAAGTAGGTGATCTGGGTTTAGGGAGAGGTTTGACTGTATCAGTGGAAAACTCTTCTTGGTAATGCTGGGCTAAAGGCATGACAGGATGGGTGACAAAGCCTGGAAAGCTGGGCTGACCAGTAAGTAACTTCCAGAGACTTTATTTCACAGGTTCTGCTGCCCATACAAAATTAATATGCACAAGAAACATGGTGTCTCTATAGCAAGCAGGGTATTCTGTACTGTCTTTCTAATCTTCCATCCAGACAGTTTTAGTGCCTTATATATGCTTTTATTCCATTCACATTTCTTCATGTTCTTCATTAAGTTCTTTCTATTTGTGCTTCGTAGCAACTGGAAGCAGAATTATGCATTGAAAAAGAAAAGTGAAATCCTAAAAATTTTCCTGATACTACAGACCTACTCAGAAGAGAGCTCTGTCTTTCCTCATATCCCCTCTAGTCCACAGCTACCTACTATTTTTGTCTTTCAGAGATGGTCTAATTGATGCATTAGCTAACTAAACTCTGTGTAATTGTTCTCTGGTATTTAATGTTGAAAGATGCTGTTTCTATTTCAGATCTGCAGAAGGGGCTGTGTGCCTCAGAGGCTTGTCTGATATTTCCAACTGTGTAAGTTGGCTTAATAAAAGGTACTACTTCTACCCACCAGCCTTCCTCTGTCTACATCCTTAGACCATCCTGTCCATGGCAGAGTGCTGTAAGGACTCTCCTGATTTGCCAAGTCAAACAATGCCACCAAGAGGTTAGGCTTTGAAAGAGGGGAAGAATGCAGCATTTTGTAATACACAGAGATTGTTGCTGAAGAGAAACCTATGCATCACACAGGGTTTGAACGCATGACATGAATTACTGCAGTTTGGACTAGGTCCAAAATGCTGCCCCTTGCTGTTGTTATCAGTGACACTTTGCTCTCATTTCTGGCTTTGCTTTCTCCTCCAGTCACTGGATAAGCCATTTTCAGGCTGTTGTATTGTTTCAGGTATGTGAAAAGATGGAGAAAACAAAAAAAGTTGAGTGTCTTATTTCTGAGTCTTGTTTTCCTTATGTCCTGCTGTTTCCTGTGGCAGGTATTAATAGCAGACTCTGCAGTTTCTTCCCCTAATCTGTGAGCAATGCTCATCCTCTCCTTCACAGACAATTGCCGGCTGCTTTTACAGAGAGATAGATTTGTGTTCCATTTGAAGAAATCAAATTCTAACCTTTCCAAAGAAATCATTCATTATATATTGCCTTTAAAATCAGTTCTTACATGCAGGTTGCAGCAGAATAAATGTGCTTCAATGGTTATGGGAATCCCATCATAAAGAATTATATGATACAAGAAGACACCTTATTCTGAATTACTGTTATGTAGTTAAATTATGGTTTATTAAACCACAGTATATTCAATTCAAGGTTGCCACATTTATATTTCTCACAAAGGTGAAAAGAAAGTGACTAACGATGGTGGGTGCCTCAATTTTCAAATGTCTAATTTGCCTGTATTTTAAAACAGTTCTGCTTTGCAAATGGTTGAGTGGTGACCACTTTCTGAAAGGCAGCCTCATCTATCTCACATGCATTGCCTAAAACCGATGATACTTTTTGAATCTTTAGACCTGTTTATCTTTCTTTTAATCTTCTAGTTAGTCATTACAAACCAGCATGTCACATAGTCTGTCCAAAATGTCAATAAAACTGGATTTGCCTGGCATAAAAGGTAAGCAAAGGAAAAATTTTTACAAAGCCATAACTTTCAATGTATATTTTAACACTGCATTTGTGAGAACTTGAAACAAATCAAATTTTTGTAATATTTTTAGATCATAAGGAACTAAAAATGCCATCCCGCACAAATCCTCAAGCACAAAAGAACACTTCGGCTTCCTTTCTGGGGTTCAGATCACCTTTTGCTTGGCTTTTCTCCTTTAGAAAATCAAGGAAAAACCAGAGTCAGAAGCAACCACGGTGAGCTATGATCAGAACATACATTATTTCCAGCTTTTAAAAAGTCTAATAATTGTTCTGTGTTTTGTTAGAAAACTTTGTTAAAATTATTTTTTCAGTCTCTTGCCTTTCAGTTCACTGGAAAGACTGGGATTTTGCTTGGTCATGTAATAGGAGATTATTTGTTCTGTGTCAGAAGAATGAGGACTAAGTGGCAAATAATAGCTAAAGTCTTGTGACTCAATCTATTTTACTCAGGTTTTGCACAATCATAGCATCATAAAATGGTTTGGGTTGGAAGGGACCTTAAGGATCATCTAGTTCCAGCCCCCCTGCCATGGGCAGGGACACCTTCCACTAGACCAGATTGTTCAAATCCCATCCAACGTGGCCTTAAACACTTCTAGCCTCTTCCCTCCAGGCTTTATCCCATGGTACTGTACCAAGCACATCCCTCAGGAGACCGAAGTCATCTCTCCTGAAGTTCAGGGTAGCAAGCTTGCTGTGCACCCTCCTCACTGTCCTAAGGATCTTGAACTCCACCATTTCATGGGCATTGCAGCCAAGTTTGCCCTTGAGCTTCACGTTCCCCACCAGCTCCTCCTTGGTGGTAAAACAAGGTCCAGCACAGCACCTCTCCTCTTTGGGTCTTCTCTCACTTGGAGAAGGAAGTTATCGTAGATGCATTCCAGGAACTTCCTGGATTGCTTACGTCCTCCTTTGTTGTCCCTCCAGCAGATACCAGGCTGGTTGAAGTCCCCCATGAGGACCAGGAGTTATGAATGTGGGGCTGCTCCTATCTCCTATCTCATGGAGCTGCATGTGCTCCAGCTGATCACTGACATAGCGGGCGACACCCCCTCCTCATTTACTCTTCCTGACCTTCCTGAAGAGTCTGTATCCTTCCATTCCAATACTCCAGTCATAGTAGCCACCCCACCACATCTCTATGATGCCAGTAAGATGATAGCCCTGCAGGCATGCACACATTTTAACTCCTCTTACTTATTCTCCGTGCTACATGCATCTGCACAGAGGCATTTAAGCTGGGCCCCTAATGAAACTGACTTACTGGCTGAAGTGGCTGGAATTCCTTTGTGCTGCTCTTCAGGTGCTCTCCTGCTGACCTGTGATCCACCTTCAGGCTCTGGTCATCTCTTGCTGGCACTGGCATCAGACTGGTAGGAGTGGGATGGATTGAGGTTTCCCTGCACTGGCTTTAAGCATTTGAAAGCCTCAAGACTTAGCAGTGGATGTACTCTAATTCTCTCTCAAGAGGATAAAGTGTACTGTGTATGGAGATCTGGTGCCCTATGGCTGTGATACAAAACAGAAAAGCGTAGCTTTCCCAGGCCATGGCAGAGAGTAGTGGCCCCAGGCAGCTCTGCTGCATCAGTTCCCACCATTTCCAACCAAAGGCAGCCTAGAGGCAGGCTTGCAGCTTTGGCTGTAGCTGGACAAACAGGGTGTATCTCCAGTGCTTTTGTCTTCCATGCTTCATCAGGGCTTTGGTTTCAGCTGGGTTTGAACCAAAGATTGTCTCATATGTAGTGCCAGAGCTGCTGTTTGAAAAGCATCCCTCTTCCTTGCCATGACCATTAAAGCTGCTGTTCAGAGGGATGAGACTACACTGAGGCTACTTAGGCTGACTGTTTTCTCCTAGCTTGTCCTGTATAGTCCTATATGTCAGCAACACTTGAATGAAACATTTTTGTGTTCATCTTAGGGTAATGCTTGGGTCTGGCAATCACGGATAAAGGTGCATTGTGCAGTGCTATGAAATCTAAGTACGAAGCTGCAATATCTTTGGCACAAATAGCTGATTTTCACTCTGTGAGTCTCCAGTCCATGCCTGAGGCTCCTAGGTGGCATTATGCTAAGACAAGGAACAGCTTGTAATAAACAATGACAGGGAATACAAGCCTCTGAAGAAATTATGATGATTCTGATACATAGGTTTTGTAGCCAGCAGCTTGCCATTGTGGAGTGTTTGTATCAAAGCAGAAGGAGATTTAGGGAGAGGTTTGAATAGAGGCCATGAGGTTAGCTTTGTGGATGTTTACTGGTAACGATTCTCCTACATGGGAAGGCAAGGCAGGTTAGGAAAAAGAAATGTGCAAAGTTGTAACACTGGTCCCTGCATATCACCTGCTCCCTCCTCTTTCCTGTTCATGGTAATGCCCCTTATGCTGGGACATACCACAGCCCTCCCTGCAGAATAAAGGAACACTTGTCTAACTGAGAATCAGATTTCAAGGACGTTGTATGCTGCTGCAAGGTGAGGTGGCCAGTGCAGAAGGGAAGGTCTTGGCTCTGCTGTGGAAGCTAAGCATCAAAATGGTAAATTAAGAAGGAAGAAAAATTAACCATGCCTCCTCATTGCATCAGCTTGGCTGATGTGTTTACCTGGCTTTTCCACAGAAAATTTACTGTATCTCCGCCTCAGATGCCTTTGATTTCTTACCGAGCTCGGCTTGAAAAATAAACAAGTCAATCCTGACGTGTAACTGAGCTGATTGCTACATTTTGTAGTCACGCCTCTCTGTCGAAAACTTCCCCCACCCTCTTCTAGGTGTTGCCCTGGCATGTGGTTTGCCTTATGCATAGGCAAAGCACTGAAATAATCTGCCTCTCACCAGGTAGAGTTATTTTGGAGAGCTAGTGAAACACAATAGGAGGCAGCACTGTAAATCCTGTAAGTAAGCCCAACTGGCAGAAGCTTTGAAATAGATAAATACTAGTGGCAGTTTAGAGGGTCCTTTCTGTACTGGAGAGACAGTTTCATCAGCTGCAGTGGTGTTTTGCCGTGAGAATAAGTTATGGAAGCTGCAGAAAAGAGTGTTCTTATGCGGAGACACAGAAGATGCTAATAAAAGGTTTGTAACTGTAGTCTGAAGATAGTGAAATGTTTGCTCACTTTTGGTTTAAAGGTTTTTGGGGTTCTTGAATTCATCCTTATTCTTTTCTAATACGTAAGCATGATTCATACTGGGAAAGAAATGCTGTTTGTGTTTTCAGCATGTTTAAATCGTGTGTTTGTTGCTTAGCTGGCTTCTTATGTAGTACCAGTGAGAACAGTATAGAAGAAAACGGATTGCACTTTAACATTAGACAACCCGGAGATGGTCTGGGGAGGACAGGTGCCTCGGTGGAAATACTAATTCACAGTAGATTTTAATTCTGAGATATATAGTGTTGTTACCAGTAGTGATACTCGTAAGTAGAATTGTCGTTTACTTTTAACCTTCTATTCGGTTGTCATTAAAAAGGTACATATTATATAAGTGAAAAATATAAAATATAACTTTGTGTTTTCCGTAGGGAGCAGTCTTTTTCTGATGGTGACTATTTCTGAACTTGAGCATTAATTTAACTTCTTTTCTGTTCATGAACAATAGATAATGTTTACAGCTATGCGTGTCTGTGTGCATGTGCATGTGTGTGCAAAATAATGTAAACATTGCTCAATACCCTTAATCAAAAACGAAACTGAATTACTTTTCCCTAAAATTATGCAGTATTTCTCTCGAAGAAGCAAAACTTTAATTTTGAAATGCTGAAAAAAACTTGAAATAATTCAGAAGAAATAATGAGGCAGTTTGAGAAGCGGAGGGATTGGCACAGGGAAAAGATTAAAATAACCTTGTCTGTGTAAGTTGGCAGGGAGGAAAATAAAGCAGGGTGCAGTGACCAGTTATTTCTGACAGAATAGTGACAACAAAGAGGTGGAGGAATTTAGGATAGTGACAGAGATGCAAATGAAAATGTAATTTTTGCCCAGACTATCAGAAGACATTTCTAACTAACATGTCTGCTTTGTGTAGCTTCATTGCAAGGAGCAATTAACACAACACCAAGCACAGCATCAAGCGGGGAGAACTGCAGAGCAGCTTTGCACAGTAAAGCTGGAGAAGAAAGCTTCTAACAAAGCTTTCACATTTTTGTTATGCATATAATTAAAATGAAGGTAACTTGTTAAGCCACAGAATTACCTTGAACTTGGTTTGCAGGAAATCATTGTGAAAAATCTGAAACATAAGTTTCCATCTTAATTCGTTGTAGAAGCATTAAAACATATTCAGTAGTATTTTAATTTAAAGGAAGAGCTATACATAGGTCTCTGAGTCCGGGTTCTGTAAACTTCATTCACAGGGAGTGGTAACCCACTGAATATAGCACCATGAACATAGCACTGTTCATATTCAGTGCTACAAGGTAAAATGAGGAATTTTGGATTCACATTGTCTGGCCCGATCCTAAGCCCACTGAGGTCAACAGGCTTGTTTCCTTTGGTTTCAGTTGGACCCCATGTCAGAGAGGAATCCTGGTTTTACAGTTCACAATTACAGAAGTAAAAACAAATTGCACCTTTCAACTGTTCTTCCCTGCCTGCAAGCACATTGCAAACAAATGACAAAGCACTACAGGAGGAAAGGCTGGGCCACAAAGAACCTGCCAACAAGCCGGTTTATACTTGCTGTTGAAGCACAATAAAGTAGTCTTACCTGAGCACAAGAAAGTTTTAAGAGCTGAAGAACAAGGTCATTCAAACAGACTTTGAGACAAACAGGACTGAGCAGAACTGTCTTTCTCTACTTCACTTTCTCTCAAGAACTAACTTCCTGGGAAAAAACAGTTTCTGAGACCAGGAAGAGCAGGTGATAAACACAAGCTGAGCAACATTTCCTTCAGGGCTTTTGAAGGGCCTGGGTTTGCTTAGTTGTAGAATGAGGAACTGCAGACTAGAATAGACTCAGTGAAGTCAAGTCCTGTTCTTGTTTCTTTAGTTTATTTTGTATTTATATGTCTGCAGGTCACCCCATAGAACAGAATACCTTTTATGTTCAGTAGTTCTCGGCTTGTTCTAACCACGGCATTACTCACAGACTCTCTAGCCAGGTCTCTGCCAAGCCCTTGCAGTTCTGTATAGCTTAGAAAAGCAGACTGGCCTTCCACCATGTGTTACAAATTGGTAAATAAAGGCTGTTTTGGGTGAGTAGCATTAAGTTCCAAAGTTCACACTGAAAAGAGTCTGCTGTCTGTCCTCCTTTGAAGGGGCAGAGCACAGCTCTGCATCTGAGCATGGTGAAATGGAAGAGAAAAGCAATAGAATTGCAGATGCACCCCCCCTTACAGATTTAGAAGCAACCAAAGCTAACTTTGTAGTACCTACTAAATTATTGTTGTTTGGAAAGAGAAGTAATAGCATCTTATCATAAAGCTGCATTGAAACAGTTACTTTATGTGTGTTGCAGGCATTGAGATATCAGTAGGCTGAGTTCATTTTTGGCTGTGCAGCTGCAGCACTTGCAAGCTGACAAGGCCAAACTGAATGGTACATTTCCCCTGCATTTTATTGTTAGCAGGATTTTTTTGAGGGGGGAAGGATGGTTTCTTCATAGAGGAGTCTTTTTTCAGGTGCTTTGCAGTAGTTGTTAAAGAGAAACTGCTGGATATTTGCTACCTAGTAAAATTACGTTATGTTTCTTTTCAAAGCCAACATGTAAATCCTTCTGCCTATAGATGTGACAGTTCTGCTAGCCCATCTTTCAAAGTGGAAGAAATGGCAATGGTAAGTAGCTTATCAACTTTATTGTTAGCAATGTTTAAACCACAGATTTTTCAAAACCTAGTCCCCTTTGTTTTGGCTGTTGATATAACACCTGTTTAAAGGGTATTCTTGCAGTTCTTGTTTTAAATGCTGAGTAAAGTGTCTGTGTTGTGAACCTGTTGAATGGAGTAGAATGACCTTGCTCTGTTAACTGTGCAAATGCAAAGCTTTCTTAGGTAAGCCCTAAGTCTAGCTCTGATCACATTTCAGTTCTTTCTTAATGACCGAATAATTGCATGGGTAGTTTCCTAGGCCAAAACCCTCACATATTTTGGCAACTGTAACCAACCTGCAAATAGGTCCAAACTCACACTGAATAAATAATCTAGAGTATTTACTTTGTTTCTTTTCATTTGTGCAAGGGTGAAAAAGTAGCTGACTCAGGCAGGCAATAAGATAGAGCCTCTCCTGCAACATTTCCATGAGCAGAATTACTGTGTAAATATAAATTTTGACAGTAGGAAATTATTTTTGGCTGAATGTTCCATTTTATAAGCACAAGCTCAATTTAAGGGTGAAAAAAACAGATTTATTTCTGATGTAATTTAAGTGCATGCTGTTGAAATAAACAGATTTCCTCCAAGGATGATATTAGTTAGTTTAATTACTTTATTACCCTGTATTACTAATGTGTCTTTCCTCCTCTTCAATTGTATGGTATAACCACAGAGGGGACTAAGAAGGTATACAGTATATAATCAAAGGTATAGAGGAGGTAAATTGGCCACCTCCCTTCTCTCGTATTTCAAAAACAAAGGGATAATCATATATTAATATATGACTGAACAAAGATCTTATCAGAGAATCATGCCTATTATATAAATAGACTGTCATAGCTAGGTAAGTAAAATATTATGAATATTGAGAACTGAAAAGTAGTAAGGGGTTTTATTTAAAAAAGGAGGAAGAGTCTCAGCTAAAATAAATCAGCAGTTCAGCAGTTGTCTGCACTTTTACCATCTGAGACTGTGAGCTGAGAGAAATATGGATGGCACAGGAACCTCTCCATCTTAACATGTAAACTGAACTCAGATGGGGAATAGGATGCCATTTTTCCTGCTGCTAAGGTAATTTATCACAGCCCCCTAAAGTGCTGCCTTGCGATACAAAAATTGACTGTGGTGTTAAATTATTAAATCTCTGTTGGGAGGCGAGTGTGTGAACTTTAAAATGTGCTGGTTAAGAAACAGGTGATTAGGAAAAACTGAATTAAAAGATACAGTGCAGTAAGGATGCATATGGAGAAAATAAGCAAACTATGCCCGTTACTATTTAAGGTCATTATAATTCATGTATTGAAAATATGCAACAGAATGAGGACAAGATGAGCCAATCTCCTTATTACATATGTAAAAGTCTCTAAAATGCATGCAACTTTACAATCCTCAGTGCTGTATTATAATAGTACTACATTTAATGGACCCACAGAGAATTTACTGACTCTGACATGTAACATAATTTGTGATGTGACATGTGAAACATGATCTGAACTCACATGTAGAACTAAAATCATGTTGCCTTACAATTTCTAACAGGCTGAAATGTGCAATTCCCCAATGGCAACTGAAACAGATGGGCATACTTTTGATGCAAACCAAAATGAAATGATGGAGAAAAGTGCACAGGAATGGAGTGAACAGCTAGAGAAGGAGTTTTTCAATGGTAAGTGTGTGTCCTTACTTTGTTCTGATATTATTGTTATCAGAAGTGACTGTGGTGATTGGTCTCAGGGCATTCTCTGCAAACACATAGATTTTAAAGATGTGGCTATTAGTTTGTACCATAGTGGCTATTTTGGTGGCTTCATAGGACAGCATAATATCTACTCTATTGTATCGTGTGTTGTGTACAGTGTATCATGACACTTCAGAATATGTCACTGGTCACTCTTAGAGTGTATTTCATCTCATATTGATGAAGTTCAGAAGAATCACAACTTAAGAGCGTACATTTCTCTGCTGATTCTGACAGAAGCCCATATTGCTTCCTTTAGATGCAGACATACAATTACATAAGAATTTCATCCCAGTTTCATGCATGCATAGTTTTGATAATGATGAATTACTGGGCCTGGTTTTGTGAATTCTAAAGCCTGAAATCACAGAAGCAAAAGGTATTGTGGCATGCAGTTAGCTTTCTGGGAGCCCTTATAGAACCACACAGAAGTTGTTAGTTCTTTTTTGTCTTCTCACTGCTGGGAAGCAAAGCAAGATCAGACAGCCTGTGGGAGTACTGAGGTGTTCTTCTGTAAACTCTCTCAGATCTGTGCAAACAAATGCCCATTAATATTATTTTCTACCACCCAAAATTACAAGAAATCAGAGGTTGAAAGCATGACTGAGAAGCATGAGTGGGTGAGTTGGCAATGCTGGAAGAAGAGAGCACTGCAGGGTGAACCACTGCAGTGGTTCTTCTGAAACACACACCTGTCACTGCTTTTGGGTGTCAGTCATGTGCACACTTGTCCACTGACAGACTAAACCTGTACATAGCTTGGCTGATGTCCTCCAAACGGAAGACTCAGAAACTGCTCATCTTTTTTGTTGTTCGAAGCTGACTCTCTCAAGATTCTTCTCTCTTCTGTGCTAAAGAGAAACTTAGGAAAAAGCTAAATTTTACTACTTTCATATCACCTTTTATTCCAACTATACATACCTGGCAGTGCTTTCTTAATGATTCTTTACTATTAGCACAGATCTGTAATGACTGATCAGTCAGTCTTTTTTATTTATATGCATTAGGAAACGCTGTAGCAAAGCAGCCATATCCATTTGTGGTTATATCTTACATATGCTATTTTCAAAGTATGAAAGAATACAACTAGCAAATGCATAATTGTTGCAGATAAAGTAACTACATTGTTGTCAGTCATACAACTGAACATCTTGGTTAATTGAGCTGTATAGTGTTTAATTCCAGTTCATGAGACAAATCATGGGTTCCTAACTATTTAATTACACTTTTCTATCCAAATAATGCCGGTTTTGAGTGCTCATTTTAAAGTAATAATCTGCAGTTTAGCGGAGAACTTCTTTTCTGAATGAGACAGTGAATATGCCAGGCAACTGAATATGTTTGTTTGCTGGTTTTCAGGATTCTGTGTTTTCTTACAGCTGCATCATAACACTGCTTTGTGAACACATATAGAAGTCTGTGTCTCCCTAGTGAATTCTTTTCAGTGATTTTTTGCTTACAAACTAGATTTGGAAAGTTTACACACACACACGTGTAGCTCATGAGTAAGAATTCAGACTTCAGTTTGTTTTGTTTTCTTTTAAATAGCATAAAGACTAACATTTACATAAAGAGCAGCTTTAAGATCAGTCACAGAGCAGCACATTTTTTCCCTTGCAGTCATAATGGGTGACTGCTGACAGGTCCTGTGGAGGAAGAATGTGTGGTTTGGGGAGGGTTTTGAATGCTGAGAAGCTGACTCTTTTAAACCTAGTTCTGATTATTAATCATAGTGTATGAAACTTCTAAACTGAAATAGTCAGAAGATTATTAAACAAAACTAAACACTTTTTTTTTCCCCTGTACAGTTCTCAATGATCTGGATGACCAGCTGGCCCAGGAACAAGCCCAAGACCCATTAAACAGGACAGTTTCTCCTAGCAGTGCATCAAATGTCCAATACAGTAGTGCATTACCTACCCTAAAGAGGCAGACTGATAGTAGGGGGCAACGCAGAAATGACTGGAGTGACATGCCTAGCACATACTTCCCAGATGGACTGAGAACACTAAGAGCCAAAGATGAACACAAGATTTTCATCAGACCAAGGAAATTACATAGTGCATATATAAACTGGCACCAGACAGCCTTTCAAGATGACTACAGATACAGTGACCCAGTTGATGGAAATTCTCATCTACTAAGCAGCAGGCTGCCTTCTGTTTCTTTTGGACGGTCTTCAGAAGGTAGCTTATATCCTCCTTCCGTAACTCACAACAGTGGATTTAGGTACAAGAGTTGTATGAACAGGGATACAGCTGGCAAAAGTTACTCTGTGTGTTCCCTTCGGAGATGTCTATCATCAGTATCTTCTGACCAGCTATCAGGATCTAGTTTACATCCATTGGCAAGAGAGACCAAGAATGGCTTTGTACCAAGATTCGGTCGACAGAACCCAAAGAGAATTCCTCTGTCTTCTATTGTATGGAACAACACACCAGACTCCCCTGAACAAATACCAACCCAAGAAAAGATGTTTAGAACCCAGTCACTGATGGAGTTTCATGCTGCAGACCCTGGCAGATATTCCAGCACTTTACAAGAAACCAAGAAATACGGATGTTACCACACAAAACACCACTACAGAAGATCTATTTCAAGCAGTAATTGCTTTAGTAGAGTTAGTTGTCCTGACAAAGCTACTTCTCCATTGCCCTTTGATAACTGGGAAAATTATCCACTATACAAATCAGAAAACAATCTCTCTAGATCCTACTATAGGGACACTTCTTCTCATGGCATGTTGTATGCAAACCAAAAAAACTCTCCTTATGGAAAAAGAGACTGCTATCCTTCTTGGACTGATATTCCTCAGTACTACAGTGATGAAGCATTTCTTTCCCCTGATGCCAGCTTTGACGTGATGATGGCCAACTTAAATGAGCAGCAGTGGGCACATACAAAGAATGCCAAGTTTGGTTCACAGCGCCTGCAGAATGATTTTCACATGTATTCTCCAGAAAATCTGAATATCAGAAGGATAACAAGAAGTGCAAGTAGAACTTTTTCAGAATTTACTGAGGGCTGTCAGCCTTGCCTAAGTTGTAACTCTTCAGTTTCTTCATGTAGTACCACAACTGATGAGTCAGTCTTTCCTGAGTTGAAGGACCAAACAAAACCTATTGGACTGAAGAGGAATTCAGTTGACATTACACTAAGAAGCACTAAAGCAGACTTTACACAACTAGAAAAGGTTGAAGGTATGAAACTGCCAGATGAAAACATACCACTGCAGTCAGTGTCTCAACAAGTAGATACAAACTACATCAACAACCAGAGTTTTCCCTCTAACAGCCCTGCTTCTGCCACATTACAGAGCGATGCATCTCTCTTTAACACAGTGAGATCAAAGAGACAAACCCAAGTCACTGCCAGAGGAGATATTGCAAAAATATGTATGTCAAACTGTGACAAAAGAAATGTACAAATGAAGGGAAACGACTGCCCACCCAGCAGTGTGTTCAGGCAACCTGCCTGTATTTTAACTAATGAGAGCAGAAAGGAACCTTTTCTTCCAAGTCAGAAAGACTGGGAACATAATCTGCACGATGCAGCAAAAAGAGAGAGTATCAAACAGGATAATCGGAGTGCAGAAGACATTAACCAAGCTACTCCAAAGAGACGCTCCTCACTGCTGAATGTTGCTTCTGCTCCATCCACTGAAAAATTAGCAAACTGTCAAGGCATGTTGTCCTGTCCTCCTGAATGTTCATCTAGCTCCTCCCAAAGCTCTCCACATGCACTTTCTCATAAAGACAATTCTAAATGTTTGGGAACACTAACTAGCTCTTCAGTAAATGGCACAGTTACTGAATCTCAAGCAGAAGGTGGAAAACCAGCCCAAGTGAGCAGAGTATGTGTTACTGAAAAGATTGCACAGAAAATGCTGCAAAATGCAGGCACTTTAGTTACTAAGGACTGTAATGGACAATTCGCTACTAGTTCTTTACAAAATGGAAATTCTGGAAATACTTATATGCACAGATGTGATGGAGATGCCACGACCTCTGATCGTAGTTTAAATTATTTTTGCCTTGAAAAAGAAAGTGGAAAACTAGGGAGTAATTCACCTTGTACTGAAAGGTTTCACAAGAAAGACAGCTTGCTGAGACACACAAGTAGCTGCAGCATTACTGGCTCCCCTAGAAGAAACAGCCTCAAATCTCCTGACCCACTTGTTATTTATTACACTTTACCCAGAAAGTCAGCTAGCATTGCTGGTAGTATTATGTCAGATACACCCATCTCTTTACCTAGAGAAAGCAGAACAACGTACAATTATTTAAGGTGTGAAATTCCATGTCGAGCTGATGCCTTTCGTTTTAATCAAAGAGATGTGTCTTGTTTAGACTCAAAACATCCCTTTTTAACATCAGCATCGTTAAATGCTGCTACAAATAACAAAGAAAAAGATTACCCCAGTCCTTTAACCAAAAGTCCTAATGATTCAGTAAGTAGTAACACATCAGTTGAACTGACAGAGAGATGTAATCATTTAAGGAGAAGAGAATCCTCTGTGTTTTCAGATTGTAGTGACAGGGGAAATTTTTTGCAGAAATACAAAACTACAAGCACATTTACAGTTTGCGTTGATGAAGATCATGTCAAGTATCATGAACTGGTTTCGATCTATTACACATTACCACGGAGGCATTCAAGAACATTTTCTAACATCTTTAGAGATAATCCAGAGGATGCAGATTCACCTTGTCGCAAAGAAAATGCTCATTCACCAAGAATACAAAGGAAGAAAAATGAAGGTCATGTGAGTTTAGCAAATATTTTTTCCCTCAGTGCTGTGGGAAAAGAGGTGCCTTCGTATTCTTCTGACCAAGTATCTTCAGCTCTGGTCACACCTCAGAATTTAGGAGCTGTTGTTGATAGTGATGAAGAGAATTCCCACTTAAATCCTAGCTCTGAGAAGATTTGTACTTTGAAGTCGATGGGTATAGTACGTAACAGGAAAGATAGTTCAGCAGATACTTCATTAGCAGAAAATGACATGGTGACACAATCCACTGCAATAGTGGTTAAGTCAGGTAAGGCCATTTCTGATGCTTCAAGCAGCCAAAATACAGAAACCTGTCTAAAAGAAAAGAAGGAAATTTTACAGACAGCCCCACCACTAACGTCCACTTTATCAACCCCTTCCAAGCCAGGCAGGCATTTAGAGAATCCTTTGTATTCTGCTTCAACAAATAAATATATAACACAGAAGGGAAACTCTGAAAACTGCTCTAAGGCCCCTAAAGTGAACACCAATAAAAATCTGAACAGTTCACTCATCCGTTCAGGAGAGAAAAGTTCCCTTGGAAGGAGCAGTAACACAGAGCGTGCTGATGTGTCGCTTCCTCCTGCAGAAGACAAGTACAGGGGTAGCACTGAAGTCAAACACAGAGTAAATTTCCGACACCAAGCCAGCCCTCTGTATAATAATAAAAATAGTGGATTACAATTAAGGGCTGACAGTTCAAGAAAAAATGCAAACGATTTAAAGTCTTGTAGCAAAGTGCTTTCAGGGTCTCAGGGCAAAGCATCTGAGGTAGGCACAGCTCCCAGTGCTGATCCATCACTTCATCTTGACAAAGTGGTTAGCACAGACACAGATGAAGTAAAGAATTCAAAGATTAAAAAAGAGCTAAGCTCACAGGGTGTTCGGATGGGTAAAGATTACAGTGGTTTGCAAGAACCAGAGAGGCACAGTGAAGGCAGCCTGAACATGACCTGTAAAGATAAAGTCCTCAGGGTAACACAAGATCAGAAGATAACACAGAGTGCAGAAGATGAGAACAAGCTTCTCTCTGACTGCACAAGGGACAAAGTCAAAGATATAGAAAAAAGGAAAAACAGACCTTCAATTAAGAATAAATTGGCCGCTGTTTACAAAACAAGTCGAAAATTTTCAAGTAAAAACTTACCCCCCAAACCACACATAAGTAACATCTTTTCACAGAATGATGGAAGTGCCACTGCTTTAGAGGCCGACATGTCCCTCGACTCACTGATTCCAGCGGATTCCCATCAGCCATTCCTGCAGTCGAACAACGAAAATCAGGATCACAGTGTGGACTCTGATAAGAATACGCCAAAGCCAAGAATAGCTGAGAATAAGAAGACTGAAGTCCAGAATGGTCCTTCTTTGCGTGTTAGTAATGCCAATTGGAGGTCTTTTACAAGCCCATGCACCCAGAAGGAAGCCATCAGTCCCAAAAAATCTACAGTGAAAGTGGAAAATAGGCCAAGTCTTACAACCCTCTTTCCAGATAAAGCAGTAACCACAAGAAATAAGAATTCCCAAACACTTGATCTCAGGTTAGAAAGCAAAGGCCAGCCCGTTTCTCCCAGTGTTACTACATCAGATGCTCTGGATGATGAGAAAAGAAGAGCTAGCAGTCATGCCTGCACTCCTCCCTTGCCACTTTTAACTGACAAAAATTCAAACACCTATGTAAATAGTTGCTTGCAGGCAGACACATATCCAGAGCAAAACCTGACTTCCCAAACAGTGCTTGGTCGATGCCAAAACACCTCTCAGCCTGCTAGCTTAAGAAATGCTAACTTGCACAGCTCTCAGTTGCACAAGAGTCACACCAAAAGTCAGCGTGAGCGTCACCTCTCTGAAAGTATTTGTGCTCCAGATTCCCATGCGACCTTTGCCTCAGGAAGCAATATTCTACCCAAAGAGGGCATACATGGGAAGAGATTTAAATCTTACTCAGAGTTGTTGTCTTGTGATGAAAATGAAAACTGGGCATCAGATGATGAGAAATGTTACAGCACTAGAAATCTGATGTATCCTTCTGTTGAATTCGGTATATTTGGCAAAGAACAACAGTTAGCTTTCCTGGAAAATATCAAGAGGTCACTCACAGAAGGGCGATTATGGAGACCTTGTCTTCTTAATAATCCTGGTGCGCTCAGAGATGGAGAGACCCCTTCTATAAACAGGGCTGAGCTTCTGAGCTCAAGTTCTGCTGGGAGCAAAATTTCATCGACTGCTTCTTCCCCAAGAGAACCAACCGATATCTATCAGGAAGACCCAGCAGCTTATTCAGACTCAGACAGTGATACCACCACTGATGATGAATACTACCTAGATGAGGTAGATAAGGAATCTGAGCTATGAAGGGCCCATGGTACTAAGATGGCACAATAGCTCAGCGGTTTCTGGGCAGGCAAAAACATGTAAAATACTTCGAGCCAGTTCTTGTGCTGCTATAAATTGGTACAACTTCATTAGTTTTTAAGAAGTTAGTATGTTACATTAGCTGAGCATCTGACTTTTGTATTAAATATGTGGCTTCACCATTGTTGTTTCTCTAGCAGGGAAAAGAATGTTAAAAAATCCCTTCCCAAAAAAATAGAAGGTAAACAACTGTGGAGCTTTGAGCAGTGTAACTCTAGAGATGGCTTTCCTCTGAGTCAGCAAGCAGTGGTGTAGGCTCCTGCCAGCAAAGCAGTGCTGGAATGGATAAATTCTAGCTTGAGCTACTTTTTCTTACAGGACTTAACAGAAAACCAAGAGGTTACTTTGCTGAAATTACTGTTTCTCCATTTTTCCTCATTTACCAGATGAAGAATGATAATGCCAATCCATCCCACCCAACAATTTCCCCTGCAGAACAAAACCTGTTCCATTTTTACAGCGTATTCTCTCTTTTCTGCATTCCTGGAAGCACAGCAGCAATGTCCCTGGTGGCATGTGTTCTGACGTGCAGATGAGGCAGATTCCACACCAAAATTTTTCTCCACAGCATTGCCAGAGCAGTGAGCAATATGAGTTACAGAACTGCTGCTAGTGCATGGGAAGCAGCTCAGTAAAGGGCACAGCACTGCAAAACTCACCAGAATTCCTAAGGATGTTAAGAAACACAGCTGAGCATGGAAGTCTGCTTTTTAGACATGGGAGATTCCTAATGGCACAGCTTTGGTTATGGCTGAAATGAACAGCCAAGATCCCTGTATTTGCATTAATAATCCAACACTTCAAACTATGCAAACTGTAAAAAGGTCTGCCCTATCTATTTCCTATATAAACCTCATGGGTTGAATCCTAAGCTGTCTTAGTTAGTGGGGAGACAACCATAACCAACACATCTTGCAATGTCCCCAGGTTCTCTTCTGCTCAGCTGGGCTCCTTCAGGGCAGCACCGGCTGAACTGGGTCACAACAGGCTGGCAGGTTCTTACACACGAATAAAAGCAGCAAGAAATGCTCTTTGCCTTTTGCTAAACTACCATCCCTTTTCGGTATTTTTCAACCACTCCTGCCATCACCACGGTACTTCTATCCTTCAAACTGAACAACTGTAAGCATTTCCCAGTGGCTATTCTTTGGCCACAGTAATAAGGTAGTATCATTACTCAGTAGTCAAAACTCATCTCTGGCCATTAAATTTCTAACTAAGCTTTGATCTTTTCTTTATGCAAAATCAAAGTGGCTCTCTGAGCCAGAAGATAGTATTTTTAAGTAATTACACATTTACTTCTACTTTATTTCTAATTTCACATATGGTCTAAAATGATGACCCATATTTTTATATGCTTTTTAATTCAGTAAAATTTCTGTAGGACATAATTGTATTTTTGTAAATGGAAGGACAGAATGCTGGTATTCTAAAATAATATATTTTACACAAAACAAGCAATGCTTGTATCACTGACTGCTCCACAAGAAAGTAAATGATGAAAATATTAGAGTGGGTAGCTGGTATCCGTATTTTTTTATACTGTAAACTTCGTTAAAGAAGTGGGTCTATAGTTCGTATCTGTACCAATATGTAAGTATCTTTATACTGGGGTAATTTGTCTGTTGTACATAAAAGGACTAATATAAACTATGTCTTTATAGTCAGAATTGATTTCTGTGACGTGCCTGTTCTGTAAGGATATAAGCTGGAAGGAAATTCCAGTTTGTAAAACGTGGTATTCTAAGGAGAAATGTCTTTCTGTAAACAGCTCTATTCTATACATACAGGATTCTATAGAATAAGACAATAAAACCAGCTGAATATCAGTGAGGAATATGTGCTGCTGTACGTTTCTGCAAAATACATTAGTCCAAAACCTGGGAACAGCAGCCTACGTAAGGTAAAGACTAATAAAATAGATGTTTACAGGGGCAATAAATGGTCAGACACTTTTTCCTGACTACAAGGGGACAGTCTAGAACATTTTTACTTGGAAATATTTTCTACCTGTTCAACAGAAGTTGGATTAAGTTCTCACCTTGTTGGCATACATTTTTTTTTTCATTTGCTATGCAATCTGTGCTATGTAAGTACAGCAAATCAGGTGCCTTGATTTAATGGAAGCAAGTAAAAATTGCTTTTGGGCATATATCAGTTGTGAAGACTGCAGCCCTTTGAAGATCTGTAAAGTAATATTTACACCAAATAATGGTATTCTGTAAAACAGTCATTTGTGTGAAAACGCAGAGGAAAATACCCTTTGAATAGCAACCAGCTCCATTCTGTTCATCAGAGCTGGGGTTTGACACGTTCACTCTTCCAAGCTTTTTCCTTGGCAAAAGTATATTCTATAAATGTTCATAATTTATAGGAGTTTCATATTTAAAAGTCTTTAAAATAAATTCTGCGTTCAAATGAAGAATGTATCGGTACTGTGTGTATTTTTCACTTACTGGACATGCCACAGACTCCAAGGGGGGCACCAGCCTGGCTCCATTGCGCACCTGCAGGGCACAGGCCTGCCTAATGCAGGGGGAGGATGTGCTGCCTTAGCCAGGTGCATACTGCTGCCTTCTGCTGTCCTGCCAGCTGAGGAGTCCCCAGAACACCAGTCCTATCAGTGGCTGTATCTTTACAATAGACATATTAACCAGCCGTATGCCTACAACTTGCCTCGAGGAGCTGATACTCCATGGAGGGGCCAAAGGTACTATTTGATGAGCAGGTTTACAAGGTGGTGATCTCCACGTGAAGATCACTTTAGCTGGAATTAGGCCTGAGTGGAGCCTGGCTGCCACGTGCAGCATGGTGACAGGGTGTGAGACTCACCACTGCCTTTCAACCTTAATTACTACAGCCAGTGAATGTGGCACCTGAGTTCAGTGACACAGTCCCTCAGCCAGGTTGCAGAAGGAAACATGGTTTGTGAGCTGAGGCAGTGTTTCTGTCTAGATCTCTGTTCACCCATTAGGTGTCCCCAGGTGACACGAGTCACCTCTAACATTTCTAACATCTAACATCTCAGTGGCCTTGGAAAGAAGGGACAGAAATCTCATGGTCTCATCATAGGGCAGCTCAGACTGGGGAGGACCTCAGGAGGCCTCTGCTCCAACAGCAGCTTGGCTCTGAGGTCAGACCAGGCCACTTCATCCAGCTGGGGGTTGAAAATGTCTGAGGATGGAGCCTAGACAACCTCTTGGGGCAGCCTGTGCTCCTCCTGACGGTCCCTATGGGGAACATGTGTTACAGGCTGAGCCTCTCTTCTCTCAACTTACGCCAGTTGTCTCTTGTCCTTTTTCTCTGTGTCACCTCCTCATTGATCTCCCCAAGGGCAGCAGGGGCTTCTGCAAGGTCCATCCCCTCTCCAAAGCCATCTCCGCCCCAGGCTGAGCAAGCCCAGCTGGCCCATCCTCTCCTCACACAGCCAGTCCTCCAGACACTCCCTGTCAGTGGCCTCCCCAAATTTGATCCACTTTATCGATATCTCACACTGGGGAGCCCAAGACTGGGTACAGTATCTACATGTGGTCTAGCAAGCACTGAGTGGAGGGGGATAATGACTCCCCTTGACCTCTGGCTCTGCCCTGTTCATACAGCCTAGGATGACGTTGGCTTTCATTGCTGCCAGGATTCTCTGGTGGCCCATGTACCCCTCACTGCCCACCAGGGAGTTCAGATCTGAGGACCCCAGCACAAGAACATGGACCTGTTGGAGCAAGTCCAGAGGAAGTGACAAAGACAATCAGAAGTTGGAGCACCTCTGCTGTGAAGACAGGCTGAGAGAGCTGGGCCTGTCAGCATGGAGAAGAGAAGGCTGCAGGGAGACCTTAGAGCAGCTTCCAGTACCTAAAGCAGACCTATAGCAAATCTGGAGAGGGACTTTTTACAAGGGCATGCAGTGACAGGACAAGGGGGAATGGCTTTAAACTGACAGAGGGGAGATTTAGATCAGATATTAGTAAGAAATTCTTCCCTGTGAGGGTGGTGAGGCACTGGCATGAGTTGCACAGAGAAGCCGTGGCTGCTCCATCCCTGGCAGTGTCCAAGGCCAGGCTGGACAGGGCTTTGAGCACTCTCTTCTAGTGGAAGGTGTCCCTACCCATGGCAGGGGGGTTGGAACTAAATGAGCTTTAAGGTTCCTTCCGAACCACTCCATGATTCTATGATCTCCCTATGGCCTTGTCTGACCAGCCTTGGCCCCTGCCAAGCCCAGCCCCATGTGAAGGCTGATGTCCCCAGGGCCCTGCAGCCACCCCAGAGCTGGGTCTGACCCCAGTTCCCCTCACAGGCCTGATCCTGATCTGCAGATTGATGTCACTGCCTGACCTCAGCCCTGTCCTGTCCCCACAAGCCTGCTGGGTTATGTGTCCTCTCAGCTGCCCCACAGGCTGTCTGCCACATGTTGGGAGGTCCCTGGTGAAGCCCTGCTGCCAGCCATGGTTCTATGCTCCTCACCCTGTTCCCCAGGGAGCAGCCTGATCAAGGACTTCTCAGTCTCATGCTCTGCCAGTGACAAGGGGCACAAGAGGCCAGGAGGGAGCAGAAACAGGACACCTGACCCAAACTAGCCAAAGGGGTATTCCATACCACAGCACATCATGCCCGGTATATAAACTATGGGGACTTACCTGGAAGGCCCAGATCACTGCTTGGGTCAGGCTGGGTATCGGTTGGCAGGTGGTGAGCAATTGTATTGTGCATCACGTAGGTTTATTGGGTTTTATTCCTTTCTTTATTTAATTAATAAAGAAGAAAGCACAGCTACAGGCTGGGCAGAGAAGAGATTCAGAGCAGCTCTGAGGAGAAGGACTTGGGGGTGTTGGTTGATGAGAAAATGAACATGAGCTGGCTTCAGTGTGCGCTTGCAGCCCAGAAAGCCAACCGTATCCTGGGCTGCATCAAAAGGAGCGTGACCAGCAGGTCAAAGGAGGTGATCCTGCCCCTCTACTCTGCTCTTGCGAGACCTCACTTGGAGTATTGTGTGCAGTTCTGGTGTCCTCAACATAAAAAGGACATGGAACTGTTGGAACAAGTCCAGAGGAGGGCCACGAGAATGACCAGGGGACTGGAGCACCTCCCATATGAAGATCGGCTGAGGAAGTTGGGGCTGTTCATCCTGGAGAAGAGAAGGCTGCGTGGAGACCTCATAGCAGCCTTCCAGTATCTGAAGGGGGCCTATAGGGATGCTGGGGAGGGACTCTTCATTAGGGACTGTAGTGACAGGACAAGGGGTAATGGGTTTTAACTAAAACAGGGGAAGTTTAGATTGGATATAAGGAGGAAATTCTTTACTGTAAGGGTGGTGAGGCACTGGAATGGGTTGCTCAGGGAGGTGGTGAACGTTCCATCCCTGGCGGTGCTCAAGGGCAGGTTGGATGAAGCCTTGGGTCACATGGTTTAGGTGAGGTGTCCCTGCCCATGGCAGGGGAGTTGGAACTTGATGATCTTAAGGTCCTTTCCAAGCCTAACTATTCTATGATTCTGTGATTCTATAATAATTGTATTTTTTGCTTTATTTCAATTATTAAATTATTCTTATCGCAACCTGTGGTTTTTTTCCCGATTCTCCCCTCCCATCCCACCAGGAGCTGGGGAGTGAGTGAGCAGCTGCACAATACTTAGTTCCAGGCTGGGCATAAACTATGACACATCCATAACTCCATATGTATTTTCTCTTGCCTGTTGGGAGTATCACACACAGTATGTCAGTGGAGATCTGTGGTTATTTGAAGTGAGGGAGTTTAGGAGACTAAAGTCAAAAGCAAGGAGGAAACCAGACTTGATAATTCCACTTTCAAGGAACCTGTTTTTCACGGTCTGTATGTACAGAGACTTGAAGTTCATGTTATTCAAAACCATGCAGCACTCATTTGTGCGATCATTGCTTTGCATGTGAAAATCCAGCCTTACACGGAAGCTTGATTTAATTCTCCTACAGCCTTGGAACCCCCCATCTACCAACACCCTGAAATACTTCCTAGTAGAGCAAACACTTCTGAAAAAATGATACAACAACCTTAGGAGATGACTCATTGGAGGTTTCCCCCATTCACTTGTATTCCATCACTTTAAATCCACTGCTTTGGTACTTTAAATCCATTACATTTTCTAGAGAATAATATTATGACGCCTCTTTCCCTGTCACTTGGCATTACCACCTAGTGAGGGCCACTGCCAGCTTCTCACCCTGAGAGCCCTGAGCTTGGCCTCCTCCCCACAACAGCAGCTGAGCCCAGCAGCAGGGAATGTGCCTGAACATCCCAACAGGGGCTGCTCTGCCCTTCTTTACTATGAGGGTGCTGAGACACTGGCACAGGTTGCCCAAAGAAGTAGTAAATGCTCCATCATGAATAATGCAGTGTTCAAGGCCAAGTTGGACAAGGCTTTGGGCAACCTGGTCTCGTGGAAGGTGTCCCTGCCCATGGCATGGGGTTTGGAACCGGATGAGCTTTCAGGTCCTTTCCAAAACATTCTATGATTCCATGATCGTTGTTTTTTTCCTCTTCAAATTCCAGAGCAGCAGTTCAGCTGCCGGCTGTATTGTGTCCTACACCACAGGTAATGTGTTGTTTAAGAGCACACACACAGATCAGCTGCTCCTCACTCTGACCCACACAGCGCCCACAGCCCAGGGAAGGCAGACCTCCTTGGACATGAATGCACTGGGCTCAGTGACCCCTTCCCACAGACCTGTGCTCAGGAACTCACTCCCCACTCTCACACCAGCGGTACTGGGCTTTCCCTGCATCCTCGAGTGCAGTCTGAGGACCTGAAGCCTGCCAGCCTTGGGGAAGAGTGGCTGGAAAGCTGCCCAGAGAAGGACTTGTGATTGACAGCAACTGCACATGAGCCAGCTTGTGCCAAGGTGAAAGCCAACAGCATCCTGGCCTGTATCAGAAATAGTGTGGCAAACAGGGCCAGGGCAGTGATCATCCCCCTGTACTCAGCACTGGCGAGGCCGCACTTTGAATCCTGTGTTCAGTTCTGAGCCCCTCAGGACAAGAGAGACATTGAGGTGCTGGAGCAGGTCCAGAGCAGGGCAATGGAGCTGGTGGAGGGTCTGGAGCACAAGTCGGATGATGGATGGCTGAGGGCACTGGTGGTGTTTAGTCTGGGGAGGAGAAGGCTCAGGGGGGACCTTATCACTCTCTACAGCTACCTGAAAGTAGGATGCAGTGAGGAGGTGGCTGGTCTCTTCTCCCAAGTAACAGGTGATAAGAGAGGAGGAAATGGCCTCAAACTGCACCGGGGGACGTTTAGATTGGGTATTTGTAAAAATTTCTTCCCCAAAGTGTGCTCAGGCATTGGAACAGGCTGCCCAGGGCAGTGGTGGCATCCCTGCTCCTGGAAGCGTTCACAAACCGTGTAGATGAGGCCCTCAGTGACACGAGTTAGTGGTGGCCTTGGCACTCCTTGGGTAATGGGTGGACTCGATGATCTTAAAAGGTCTTTACCAACCTGGTTGATTCTATGACCCGATGGCTCTGTGACCCAGCCCTGGGGACCCCAGGCGCTCGTTGTTCCACCACACGAACCGCCGCTCCCCCTTCACACACTCCGCACCGGGGCACAGCCCCCGCCGTTGGCCCACACGGGCTCTGCAGGGCGAGGCCCTCGCTCCCCGAGGCTCCCCCCCGTGCAGGCGGAAGAGCGAAGGAGAGGGGAGGCAGCGCCGGTTGAGCGGCTCGGGGACAGCCCGGCCCTTCCCGCACCTCCCTCGGGCACACCCGGCCTCGGCGGGCCCGCGGGGCGGGGAGCAGGCGGCGACCGCCCGCGGGGAGCGGGGCCGCGCACGTCCGGAGGAGGCCCCGGCCGCCCGCTCGGTGTGCGTGGCCCGGCGGGGCGATGGGGAGGCTTGGGCTGCTGCCGCTGCTGCCGCTGCTGCTGGGCGCCGCGATGCCGCTCCTGCGGCCGGCGGAGGCAGCGGACCCCGTTAGCGCCGAGCGGAGCCTGGCGTGGGGCCCAGGGCTGGCGGCGGGGCTCGCCCTGCCTGTGCGGTACTTCTACATCCAGGCGGTCAGCGCGACCGGACGCAACTTCTCCCGCTCCCCGCCAGGTACCGTGAGTGGGCTGCGGGCGGGCGGGATGGGCACCCCGGCCCGGGTGCCCCCGGTGTCCTCGGAGGAGCCGGCGGGAGCAGCACTCCGTGTTTCCTCTTTGCCCCCCCTCCCTCTTCCTCTTCCTTCCCTCCCTGCTCCCGAGCGCTGCTGCCCCACTCTCCTCCAGCCCCTCTCAGCATCCGCCCGGTCCTGCATCGCCCGGGACACGCTGGTCCGGTGGCGGTCGGATCAGTGGAGCACATGGTCATATCCCTCCTTTCTCTTGGTGCAGCTCAGTGCCTCCTTCCGTAAAGCTCTGCGTCTTGCCCGTAGGCTCGAAAGTGTGTGATTTACAGCAGCAAGCTTGGATAAACCAGCGCTCTTGGTAAAGAAATCGCAGAACCCTGCTCAGCAGTTCTGATGTAATTGTCTGCTGTAGTGGTGAACACACCACCAGTTGCTTACAGTGTCTGTCTCAGCACGGCACTCTGGGCTCCGTTATCCTACTGCTGCTTCTTTAACAAGGAGCAATTTTCCTCCTGTTTACTCAGCACAAGCACAAATCGCCCCGACAGTTATCCAGAGGGTAGGAACTGGGGTTTGTTCTCACAGTCCGGCAGCATGCTGCCAGTCAGCTCTTCTCTGCTGCAAGTTAATTTCACACACTGTATTAGTAGTTGTAATTTAGAATAAAACCCACTTTCGCATTGAGGATTTCATCATGAGATAGCCATGCAGTGGCAATCCTGTGTTCCTAATGTATGTAATAAGGTAGAGCTCATTATTTTCCTCTGTGTTAATATTGGTATAGATGGCACTGCGAAGATACCTACTGGGTGTGCATGGGCTCTTCCTGTCTTACAGCTAGCAGGCTTCTGCTGCTTGTGCAGTTAAACAGCAGGCATCTATCATAGAGGTTATGTATTCAGTCAGACAAAACCCCACTTATTTCAGGTCTGGACTTTCTCCAGCTGCTGCGCTGGATTGCAGCACCAAGTCAGTACTACTGACATGTACTGAACAATGCAACTGCACACTGCCAGTGAAGTGTTGGGGTGATTTCAGCCACGTGGGGAGAGCCTTGGGTTCAAACAAAAGGCTGCTAAAGGTAAAAAGGTGTCAAGCTCAGCTGGATTCTTGTGCTAGTTTAAATCCTCCAAGATGAACTTGATAGGAGATGGGCACTGAGAACCTACCTTTGACCTCAGTATGTTCATGTTAGTATTTATATTAGTAAGTTCAGTGTCTTCAGAATGTTTCCGGCTCCTGATGCCATCTGGCAAGGAGCGGTCTCCATTCACACCATGACATTCTGTAGGCTCCACTCCGAGGCAGTGCATGCATGCTGCCAAAACGGAAGAGCTGCTGGCTTGGGCCATGCTAACTGCTGAGCCATGCCAGCAATTAATTAGGAGCCAAGGATCCTTTAACAATATAATGGCACAGTTGATTATATTCCATCACATGTGCACGGTTGAATGTACTCATACAGACATGGGCTATAAATTTCAGTTCTCAAATGATTTGAAATGTTTAAAATTCTGTTTGTAAACTGTCAGTAGGAACTGCAGTTAGTAATATTTGTTAGGGCACTGCTTTCCAATATAAACTAAATACATCTCAGAATATCCCTGCTGGGATAGTTAAATAAATCTGCCTTCTTTGCCTTAGTCTTTACTGGTAAGATCAGCCTTCAGGAATCCCAGGCCCCTGAAACCAGAGGGAAAGTCTAGCACAAAGAAGATTTACCCTTGGTGGAGAAGGAACTGGTTGAGGAACCCTTAAATATCTGGGCATGCCCAGCTTGTGTGGTGCCTGATGGCACGCACCCAGGAGTGCTCAGGGAGCTGGCTGACATCATTGTGAGGCCACTTGTGATCATCTCTGTAAGATCCCAGCAAACAGGAGAGGTTCCTGAAGACAGGAAGAAGTCACTTGAAATTCATTCTGAACACAAGAAAAAATTCTTTTACTGTGAATGCGGTCAGACCCTGGAGCAGATTACCCAAATTATGGAGTGTCCATTTGTGGAGGTATGCAGAATTTAACAGGACACAGTCCTGGGCAGCCTGGCCTGAGCAAGAGGTTTGGACTAGGTGACCTTGAGGTCACAGTGATTCTGTGATCCTCGTTATTCTTTGTTTCTCCACTATGTTTCATTACCAAGTTGCATGGTACAACACAATCTTGCACACATTGAAGAAGAGCTGGAGGATATATTTAGAAAGAACTTAACTACTCTCTGAATAGTTCTGGGTATCTTGACTCATGAACAGTTTTGAAACTGGCTGCAGAATTCACACTAATTCAAGGAAGATAAAGCAAATGTGGAATGAAAATTGATTCCCAGAAATTACTTTGATGCCTATAATTCTTATGTTATCAGACTGAAGTTTGAAAACATCTTCTCTGTAATATATAATCACATTTTGGAAAAAGAACTGTCTTAGGATGCAGATGAGCCAATCTGAGTCAATTCTACTGACATAGATCCAAGCTGTAGAGCTCCCAAGCTGTGACAGTCATGAATTAACTGTAACATCTCAGTCATTTAGTGCTGTTGGGACACATTGGAATTTTAATAACATCTTGATTTTATCTGGATTTTTTTCAGTTTCATTTCTTTCTGTATACTGCTTTGTTGTAACATGCATTCATTTGTTTGGTTTGCAAGGTTTAGACTATAATATTTGGTGAATAACTTTTCCCTTCTTTTTTTGAAGAATAAAATTCAGGCTGGCCATTTGTGACAAAAATAAGGGAGTGTAACAGATTTATATTTATGCATATTCATGTTGTCTGCAAGGTGTTCCATGCCCCATTAAAATGTCACGTTGCATTAATGATCAAATGTTGGTGATCTTTAAGCACAGGTCAGACAGATGTCCAGGGAACATCTTTATCTACTATCATTCTCTTATCCCTGCTTTTCAGTAGCTGGGACTTTAAATTTGCAAGACAGTCAGCTGCAGCCCAAAGGTGAACACTTTGTATCTGACTCCCGCATGCTGCAACTGCCTTTCCACAAGCTGGCAAGTATTCTTTTCTCCTGTTATTTTAACTTGATTTCCTAACTTTCTTACTTCAGAGAGCACTAACTTGAAAACTTAGTATTAAACCTAATCTGCTTCAAAATGCTATTAGAATTTCCTTCTATCTTGTAATCATTATTTAACTTTTTATCTCCATCTACAGGTTTTCCATTTATTAGGTATATGATGATCAAGAAAATTTGGTAGGATGATCTTCCATTACTGGAAATTTATTTTACCAACTTGGTGTAATCAAAAAATTTCTAGTGCAAAATTAAACAAAATTCCATGGACTTAATCCAGTAGAGTTTGCTCTCACCTTTATTTTATCTATGTGATTCCGTCAGCTTAAAGTGCTTTTGTCTGGTTTTATTTTACTCTTTTCAGGAAGAACAGAGTTTAAAGTGGTAATTAAAGCACTTTCCCCAAAAGAAGGCACCAGAATTTATACTCCTCGGCCTTTGGATAGAAATGATGGCACATTTCTTATGCGGTATCGGATGTATGGGAGTGTCAGAAAAGGGTTAAAAATTGAGATACTTTATGGTGATCAGCATGTAGCGCAATCTCCTTATATTTTAAAAGGTAAGAGTATGTTTTTTATCTAATATATAGTGGCAGCCACAGAAATGCTATGGATTAACTTACTGCTAAAGGAAGAGGTGGAAAATTAGAGGTTTATTTGACCTTGTTCATGTGGTCTCTTCAGAAATGTTCTTATACAGAGATGTAAGCAGCGACAATCTCTGTACATTGCCAGCTTGCAGGACCTAGATGCATAAGTATGTAGATTATGGCCCCTGACATTAAGGTGAAGTGTCTGGACATCTCCTCTTCCCTCTTGCATAAGGGAATGGATCACTTCAGATTTGGTAGGGAATAAGAGAGCAATGCTTGTATTTTTACAGTTTCCAAGCAAGTATTCACTTAAACATTGTGTTATCTTTTTCTAAGGTAGAAAATACTACCTGCAAAAGGAAGGAGTTTGTGTTGTCCCCAACATTTTATATTTCAAATGTCTGTGATTTCTAAAAAGTGTGATCCTTCATAACAACAAAGACGGTATTTCTTTAACCAGACAATCTTTAACTTCCTCTTCATTAGCCCAGTTTAATTCAATGCAATGAAAAAAATATTTAAAAGGAAGGAAACCAGAGCAAATTATTCTCTCATTCCAGATCTGCTTCTTCAACTCCCTCCTCTTGCTCTCAATTGGACAGCTGTTTAGCAAAAAAAAAAAACAATATAAAGTTACTTCTCTGGAGAGACTTATTTCAGTTCACCACTCTAAGGAGAATCTGGGCATGGTTTTATTTTTCCTTTTTAATAACATTTCCTAAATATAAACTTAGAAACCTCTTCAAACTGAAATGAAACTGTCCTGAGTCCTCAAGGTAGTAGGATGTTTTCTTTTTGCTGATGCACCTTTGCCAGCAGCCATGAAACTATGACACAGGACAGAACCTGTTTTGATTAGAAGTCTATGACATAAGGGCTTTTTCTCATGCTCTATGGGGCTCTTGCTCACACCTCTGCTTAAAAAGGACAGAAAGAATAGCTGATTATACATAAAAGAAAACGCGTTATGCCACAAGTAAAGACTGTTGTATCACAGTTCTGAATTAGGCTACAAATGAAACTCTTTAATACCTGAGCTTTGGTAGTTATATACTGTTAGAACAATTCTGTATTACAATATCCTACATTCTTGGCAGGTAGCACAGTAATAGAGCTTCATTTTGCAGATTAATTTTACCCTGAGAACAAAAAATTGCGTTTTGATTTCTGAAAAGAGAAGAATGTTGCTGTTTTTTCAGTTACACTGCAAAATCCCAGAAATGTTACAGGGATGATGATTTCCCAGGAAAACTATGGGGAATTTTGAATAAAAAATGTCAAGCCACTATAGTGTCTACATGCATATGACTGTGTGTCTGGGGAATTATGGTTGATATAGAATCACAAATACAGACTCTCAGTGCTTTGTTTTCTGCAGGACCAGTTTATCATGAATATTGTGACTGTCCTGAAGAGGACCCTGAGATCTGGCAGAATGTTATGTCTTGTCCATCCCAAGAACCTCAGATTACAAAGGACTTCACTTCTTTCCCCACCATTGACCTTCAGCGAATGCTTAAGGAAATCCCAACAAAGTTCAGTCAAACAAGAGGTGCTATTGTTCATTACACTATTCTCGATAATCGCATCTACCGTCGCTCCTTAGGGAAGTATACAGACTTCAAAATGTTCTCCGATGAAATGCTCCTGTCACTGGCAAGAAAGGTATCAGTTTTTATCATGTAAGGCTATTGAGTCATGTTCTAATATGGCAATACTGCATTTCTTGTATATTCAGATCTATAATCCCTGAAATAAGATTTGACTTCAGTTTTTTTCATCAAGATGAGAGTGTATCTCAGGGATATAACATTAGGGACTTGAACTGACAGTAATGAAATTGCTAGGAAAACTGCAGGGGGTAAGGCCCAACTCTGCAAGGCTTTTGCTGGTCTCTGTGAATGTTCCTTTCATACAGGGAGAAACTTGAAATTCATCCCTTAAACTCAGCTAAATCTATTAACTAACTAGGAGGTTTATTGATTCTGCATGACGTTAGAGACCCGACGAATGTATATGACAACTTCTGTCTTTGTTATTATCCTTTCTTGGGTATACATTTAGGTTCACCTTCCTGATGTGGAGTTCTATCTTAATGTTGGAGATTGGCCAGTTGAGTATCGGAAAGCTAATGATACGCCTGGTCCTATACCTGTCATTTCATGGTGTGGCTCTTTGGATTCAAGAGATATAGTTCTTCCAACATATGATGTAACCCACTCAACTCTTGAAACCCTACGTGGAGTCACAAATGATCTCCTTTCTATTCAAGGAAATACAGGTAAATGAGAGATCATGGAGTTAAAGAAAGGATTTGTAAACTATCAAAGCAGCAAGTTGCATTCAAATAATGTTTTAAAGTCTTTAGTTCACAAGTGGCTTAGGAGGTCTCTTACTACAGGCAGGTCAGTCTTTACAGAGTGTAAACACTTTTAACGCTACTACTAAGCAGGTGTTTAATATGGATTTAGAGCCAAAACTTAAGTCCAGTGTACAATAATGGTGAATTTTAACTTAAAGGTATCCAGAAGATAGCTACTGTGACCTGTCAGAAGAAAAGTAAATACAATTAAAAGGCCTTTCTCCTCAGTGAAGGTCTTGAATATGTTCCTTCTAATCAAATAGTAATCCTTTTCCTGACAGCGATGTGGCCCAGTGTCCTGTTTACATAAAAATGAATTTGAATCCCAAAAGAAGTAAACCAGTACTATGCTGCAGCCTCTTTCAAATAAGAAAATACTCTCTGTATATAAAATAAACCCACCTCAGAGTGGGATCTTCTAAATTGTTTTTCTTTGAAGGAAGAGTCAGTTTTACTGACAGGTGTCTTTCTCCCATTCAGGAAACTAATGAATACTTAGGGATCAGATAAATGGCATGAACAATACTTAAGGAGTAAGAGGAGATACTTCTTTTTATTTCATTAGTTCACAGTTTCTCTTTTCTTTATTAACTTTTAAAGTCATTTAGTTCAATTACCTGTTTGAAGCACTGTGTTTACTGATTTAATACAGCTGCTTTTCCAGTTAGAAGATGGTAAGAGCGTACTCCACTTTAGTAGGTCCTTTAAGGAAATTTCCAGCAGAAGATGAGGAAGAACATATTTCATGTTTTTAAAATCAGGCAGTAAGCAGAGATGAAGTCTTCCAGGCTCTTGCTAAGTATTTTGAGGATACCATATAGCCTTTTATTCTTTTTTAAGTCATCATTAAGTGATTTCTCAAGGACCTAACTAAATTGCTAAGTGACAAGTAAATTTTACTAAAGAAATTTTAGTTATTGTGGCAGGCTTTGTGGATGGACAATTACTTTAATTATTAGTATTGTACTTACATAATTTTATTATAATCCCTTCTGTAGCTTGCAAGATATTTCAAGTTATTTAAATATAAAATTCTTGAGTGGAAAAGCAGTTCTCTGATTTTTCTAAGTAACTGGTTTGGTTTCTCATCCCAAAATTCAAGCCAGAACTGGGAGTGTAAGCCCATGATTAATAAAGGATTATGGATTCACTACAAGAAATCATGCCTGTTTTACCATGTCTCTGAGCATAATGCCACCTTCATAGCATTTTCCTTGTTTGCACTAAACATACCATGAACATCTCATTACTGTTTGCTTTTAACTTACCACTCAATGCTTGTAGGCCCATCCTGGGAAAACAAAACAGAGCAAGCTTTATTCAGAGGTCGAGACAGCCGAGAAGAACGTCTCAGTCTTGCCAAGTTATCCAAGGAAAATCCAGAACTACTAGATGCTGGAATAACAGGGTATTTCTTCTTCAGAGAAAAAGAAAAAGAGCTGGGGAAGGTTCCGCTGATGGGCTTCTTTGACTTCTTTAAGGTAGCAAACAAATTACAGTCTTGGATTAAGTTTGCTTCAGGTTCTTATCAGATGAGAAGACAAGGCTTACTTCTGTGAATTCCATTCAGTAAACAAAACAATTATGCTACACTGGGAGCACTGGTTCACCTGGGGTAAATAGACCACCTGTAATCAAAGTCATGGTGTGACACACTTCTAGAAGAAGCCACTATACTTTTTTCCTGGAGCTCCTTAAAGAGGGTTCTTGGGAGATTTATTCAGTAGATTGAGAAATTTGATTTCTCACCATCAGGGTTTCTTTTCTTTGGGGTATATAGGAAAGCAATGCACAATGTGTGTCCATTGCAAGTATGTTATGGATGTCAGAGTCCTTGTAGTAGCAAGCCGGAAAAATAGATGGGTGTTTTTGTTGCACTGTAACACACAAATTCCACTGCAGCTGTGGTAAAAAAAGTAAAAGGGACAGAGTCCTGTAAAAAGCCATTATAATATATGGCAACTGAAGTTCTGTTCAAGAGATTAATATATCAGAAATGCTGTAACAGCGAAGAGCATTTACTGCCACAGCAGTACATTCATGGTTATTTTTACTGTAATGTTTCAAATTATTTTATATATGTTTCAGATTACTCTACATAAGTCCATAATTTTAAATCAGACTTTTTTAATTTAAGTATAGATTAGTTTTAGTTCATTCCCAGCTTTAATAGAATACCCATGAGGCAGTTCGTGTGACACAAACATTCTTGACTGTCAGTCTTGGGTTGAAAACAAATGTGTTTTTTTTTAAACTATGTTACCCATACTACATTATCTATAGCCAAACCACACCTGCTTAACATTAAAACAGGTTTGAAGATGAGAATTAATAAACCCAATTAATCATTGCCTGTGAAAATAAGCTTTTATACAGTCAGTGTTCCTATTCTGATTCACATCTTTTCACCTTTTCTTCTTCTATCTTCATATTGTAGTACAAATACCAAGTGAATGTAGATGGGACTGTAGCAGCTTACAGGTTTCCATACCTCTTGCTGGGTGACAGCCTAGTATTGAAGCAAGATTCCCAGTACTATGAACACTTTTATATTGGATTGAAACCTTGGAAACATTATGTTCCTATCAAGAGAAACTTAGAGGACTTGCTGGAGAAAATAAAATGGGCCAAGGTAAGTTCCATTACTAATTCAAGTTCAAAGTGATAAATATGTAAACTATTTATATTAATATTCTCTTTTCCATATGCATGAACTTGATATTGAGATCTTGGGATAAAGGAAGTACATTTTGCTGTTAATGTAAGATGGGAAGGCCTTATTCAAGTAACCACCTCTATTGAGGGAAATGCTAAAGAATTCATTTTAGGTATATGCAGAAATGTTTAGTGAGTCAGAGTCTTGGTATACTGACTAACGCAGCTAATCTTCAGAAAAACACCCAGAATCCTAAATACCACTTAAATAATTCTATTATCTTTTTTAGGTCTTGACTAGAACAGAAGTCACTGCATGTTTGGTTTGAATGTACCAAAAATTGCTGCTCTGTAACATGCTCAGAATGAGACCGTTGTGTAACCAAACAAACCATTATCAGTGTGAGATTGAAAACACAATTTGTGCTTTAAGTTTAACTATTGAGTTAAAAAACATAGGAAAAGTTTATATTCTGAGAGTACTGTTGTTCTTCGTAAAGAATCAGATGAGAATACTAAAAGCTTTGATATAGAGACCTAAAAAACTTGGAAGTAATTACATGAATACAAGTGGAGTTATTTTTTTAAAGGAAGACATCAAATTGGATTGTGTATGAGAGGACAAATGCTGTGGCTTTGTCTTCTGCAAAACTAAGTATGTCTGGAAGATGTTGGACCTGATTTTGAAGAGGCTTGTGTCTTGGACAAAACAGTACAGTAGTAATCAACTTAGTTTTCCAAATGGTACAATTACCTATGAAAGCTGTTATTGATAGCCCCAAGGGAGCGGTTGTGACCATAAAAGCAGTCTGGTGTTTTTTAAAAATCTGCAATTTAAAGTGGGCCTTTACAGTCTACCAGTAATTGCACATAAAGTTACAGATTTGAGTAGCTTCTTTAATAGAACTTCTAATGCCAGCCAGGCTCTGAGTAACTCGCTGATTGCTCTATTATTCATTCATTTCATCTCAATTTTTGCAGGAAAATGATGAAAAAGCGAGAGGAATTGCTAAAGAAGGACAATTAATGGCAAGAGAATTACTTCAGCCTCACAGGCTTTACTGCTACTATTACAAAGTGCTCGAGGTTAGCACAGTAGATCCTTTTTCTTATTTTCCCCAACTACTACTGGTGCTACAAACTTCATATTCAATCAACAGCAGGCATGGTTCATATTATTCATGGATCAGTTTGAAGAACTTTCATAAAACTTACTTCATTAACTGACATAAGTTGGTTTACAGAATCAGATGCTATGTTCTTTTGCCCCATCCCCACAGTCCAGACCTGGTTTCAGTGTCACTTGGTATGTGGTTTCTAATAGGCACAGGGGATAGTCTGTACACAGCTTTCTTCCTTTTTGCCTTCATGCTTAACTCATTAGTTACTGTGCTGTATTACAAAACAGTGAATATATGAAAAAGAAATTCCAGAAGTACAACTAGTAGGGTGGTAAGGCGTGAAGCAGGCCAAACAGTCATTGCTTCCCAGGGAGATGCAAATCTCTGGTGAAAGAAATTTCTGTTCTCTGAAAGTACTAATTTCTTTTTCCTGTTTTCCTGTGCTGGGTTAAATCTCAGCCTCAGCAGCCACAGGTTGGCACAAAGTTTGGAACTGCTCAGTGTACAGAAATGATAGCATTATCTGCATGAAGTGGTTAGAGGCACAAATAATGGCAATATTGAAATTACCATTAATAATAGGACAGGAGAAGACATTAAAGGAAGGTTTCAGAGGTAATGTAGCCTATTAGTAGGTGTGTTATAAAGACACCTTGTACACAGGTTGTAAACAATGACATAAGGAGCCTGGATAAAGGCAAGCTTGTGAGTGGAAGGGAGGAGGAAAATTCTGTTTCATGAATTATACGTTGGAGCTTACAGCATCCCTAAATGTTGTTTACATATTTCAGAAATATGCCAAACGCCAAGCCAGCAAACCTGAAATACGGGATGGAATGGAACTTGTACCTCAGCCTGATGACAGAGACTCAGTATGCAGCTGCCACAGGAAAAAGCCTTTAAGGGAAGATCTGTAACTGTACCGGATGAAGAAAATCACCCACTTACAATGCAAGAATTCAAATAGGAATTAAGCTGTGAAATCTAAGACAATTATGCACTAGCAAACATTCTTACTTATGTATTCTTCTTGTCTTAACATACTCTTTTTCACACTGACTCTGCTCTACAAGGTTGGTTCCCACAATTTTGTAACCTTGACCACCACCAGACAGATACTGAACCTGTAATGAGGAGCATCTAAGGGGTTTATTTGATATACTGCAGCATCAGGAAGAAGAGCACAGTGCTGCTTGTGTTCCAGCTGGGACCTAGTTACCAAAGTTTTACGAAGAACTAGTCATCCGCAAAAGATCTTCCATGAGTCACTGGAGGTTATTCTAAAGGAGCATTTGCAACATACTAAAACAGTGTTATGATTTCTTCATAAAGTTTACCTCAGTGTTAGATTGTTTCTTGTATACAAAACAGTTTTCTAACTAGACAAAGAAAGTATTTGAGATTTACAGATATCAAATCTGTTGTTGTTTTGAGATTATTTTGTGGTCTATGACAGATAACAGAATAAAGAATATGATAGACTATTTATGAATTTCAGAGGGAAAGGAAGACAAGGGGGAGAGATCAGAATAATATTTTATAAGCACCATGGCTGTGAATTACCGAAGTTAAATGCTGCTTTAAAGCAGACTGTGTAGCAATCAAAGGGCTTTGAGTGCCAGGACACCACTGTGAAAACCTGTTCTTGCCAGTAAGCATGTCTGTGAATATAGGCACAGATCCACAAAAGGACTTAAGAACTTCAGGTGAGACCACTTGAAATACTGGTGCCTTAGTTTAACAATACAGTCTACAGTATTCTAGGCTACTTGAATATTCCCACACTGAAATTTGTTAGCAGAATTGTAGACTGTAGGTTTAACTTCTGTGTAGAGCTAACCATCTTTTCACTTGGATTCATGAGCTACTCTCTCCTGTGCCTGAGTCCCTAGAGGGATATTAGCCATTTTCTGAATTTAGATCATACCTAACCTTATACTGAGATCAGACAGCAGATCAAACTTCATTGTTTTGGTTCAAACATGACAGAAAAAAAACTATGCTGCATTTTCTAAGAGTCTAGGTGTTAGAGACCATACTAAGCAATTGGGAAGCCAACTGTCTTTATTGGTTTGATTCAAAACCATTTTTCCAGAGTGCCTTAGTTTCAGTCTGAAGAAGAGGTCTTCAGGTCTTCCACTGAAGTTGTGCAGCCATGAAGCTAAGGATACAAAATTCACAGGACCAGAAGGAGCTGGTCATACCATTGCAATAAAGCGTGCCTTTGGATGTGGGGAAGAGGAAAAATGCTAGTCCTGGGTGCAGCTCTCAGTACCTCTGCTGATTTTTACCTAAGGTTCTCCAGTTCAGAATGCATAAACAGTCCTGTAAGGAGACACCAATGCCAGTACCAAGACCAATGCCCACAAGCACCCATTTCTGTCCTCTGCATTTTTGGCTTGGCTAATGCAGCCTGCCTGAGCAGCCTCATACTTGGGTACACTCAGATAATGGCTTAGGAATAGGATTGCCTTAAGTCTGTGGAGAATTGTCTTAAGTCTGTGGACTTGTCTAATTGGTGCACAAAGTCTAGTGCTCTGCACTTCATGCAGGCTTTAGTCTTGGTTCTACACTGCAAGTTACTCTTACAAAATACATGAAACAAAATTTCTGCACTACAACAGGAAGAAAGACTAGATTTTTCAGTATGCTAAATACAGAAAGAACTTCAGGTTTCTAAAGAGGTTCATGCAACTCTCCATCTTTCATTTATTACATTATGCCAGTTAAGAAAAAACCTGAAACATGTTGCCCTACCCATCATTCTCTTTGTTCTGGTTCTAACACTATATATAGTGGTTGTTTTTTTTTTATTTAACATGACAATGAGTCCTAGAATTTTAGGCTATAATTACATGTTCAGCTCATCTGCCATAATATTTTCTATACCAAATTTCAGGAACAGGGTTCCATTGCTGAAGGTGATACTAAAAACTGAGCATGTGCTCCTCTTCCCTTCTCTGTATACAGTAATTTTTACTGTATGATATAATCTCATTTTGTGATATTGTCTATTTCACCATGTGCCTTTTATATTCACCAGTATTTGTGGAAATGGTGTGCTCCGCATAAGCAATTAAGCAGAAAAGATGGTTGACGGAACAAGGTTTTTTTCTACCTCACACACGTATTTCAAACCAGAAGTCCAAAAATGATCTGTTTATATTTTTAAAATGGGAGAGAACAAGGGGAGTCATGACTCATACTTCAGAGTTCTTTGGAAATATCTGTGTAGGAAAGACTGTCTTGAAACAGAAGTCTTTCAAACTGGAAGAAGGATCAGTTAAAATTCAAATGGTCATGAATTCAAATAAATGTGAAGATTTTATCCCTCCTTTCTTCCTTCCTAAGAAGAAAGAAACAACACCTATTCTAAATTCTCCTCTGCCAGAAAACCCTCCCTGTTTTTTTAGTAAGCATCACTTCAAAGCAAAGACTAGTTTGTCACAGAATGTCTTAACAGATGCTTTTATAGCTTAGAGGCAAGAAATATCCTGAAAAATACTAATATATGCATCTTCCTTCCAAAATTAAAAAACAGTAGAGACACAGTAGAACTTTCATTAAAAGTGCTTATTCGTTTGAGAAAATCTGCTTCAATTTTTAACTACAGATCTTCTGAAGATAAAAGGTAAGGCAAAGAAGCCTCTCCTCTTTCCACTGGTGGTACTATATGCAATTTAAATTATAATGAAGAGCAATTGCAACAATTGCCCCTCCAGGCCAGAAAAATGTCAGATCTATTTTAGTTTGATGACAGGATGATACACTTTAGGCTGGTGTGTTACAGGAATTGCTAAATATTCAGTAAAACCTGTCTGTACAAGTAAAGTGTAATACATGCATTGCGTGGCATTTTTAAGCAACATACATACACTAGAGTTTCTGTTATTCTATAGTAGTTCTTAAACAGCAACTGAGTATATTTCTTGTACACCTAGCAGTTCATGGTAATTTTAAAAACAGTTACCATACAGTACAGTAACTTCAGATTTTAACGCAAAACATAGGATTTAAGTCAGAGTAAAACCTGTCCTGTTTTCATCAATGGCAGTCATTTTTAACAGACTCTAGAACTTATCACTGGTGGTGGAGACACATTTATTTGTTTGAAATAGTATGTCCTAAAGTCCAGGGCCAATATTTTCAAACACAAATTTATATAGAAATGGTCTGAATTAAAAAACATTGGTCATGCAGAGCCTTTACTGCAGGTTCCTTACTTTCAACTCTCTTTAACCTAAACAGTAGTTTCATACACTGAACACTCCAGAAGATTAGTCCTTTTGTGTTATGTCATATACATGTCCTAATATATTTAGGCACCCACATTTGGAAATACTCACCCAACCTCAGTTTCACCTTGAAATGAGAATTAATAAATTATGGTCTGTTGAACGTAAAGGAGATATAAATTCAGTACATTTTAAGACTGTATTTTTTGAGATATACCTCAAGATAACTCATACACTGGTTTCATGAAACTATTGTGCCAGGTCTGCCTTGTAGATTCATAATTAAAAACCCCTATAATCAAAGCTTGCCTGATGGAATGTTAGATTCAAGCATCCATCCTGGGAAGCATACGCCCGGCATTTATTACATTAGAAAGTAAATTATTTGGTTAGGGAGGAGAGCTGACAGGGAAAATATACATCACCTGTTTGAGCATGTTTGAGAAGCTTGCAAAGAAATGATAATAAAGAAAAGAAGCATTGCATAAACCTAGGATATTATCAGCTCCTTTACTGGTTCAGCTTTTCAAAAGCATTCTCTGCAAGTGCAGTGATGAACTGCAAGATTTTATATGAACATGTTATTGTTTAAGTTCACAGGATTCAACCACTAGAATCTTCTTGTCTGAATACTTTTATAGCATTTTAGTGAGGCTATATGAATACTAATGCTTGGCTTTTGTTTGACTTCTTAATAATGTAAGAAAATCTGTACTATAGAGTGTTATGGCACTAATTTTGTATTTTGCTGTAAGAATAAGGGAAAAAATAGTATTTTGCATGTCTGTTTGAAGATATTTGAGACATCTGTAGCATATACATTGAGTCCCATCATGGAGTTGTGATAGCGAGAGGTGTGTTAGCAAAAGTGTTGCCAGCACGTCAAGGGAGATGTTTCTTCCTTTCTGTTTTGCAGTTGAGAGTCTGCAACTAGAGAACTGTGTTCAATTTGGACTCCCCTATGCAAAAAAATACATTGACATAGGAAGCAGATCCAACCAAGGACCACCAAGGTGATAAAGGGGTTGGGGCACATAAAGTAATAGGAGGAGCTGAGTGAGCTGGGTTAGGTCAGCCTTAAAAAGAGAAGCCAGAGGAAAAATTACAATGCTGAACTGTAAAGGGAGGGTGTAGGAAAGATGAAGCCAGACTTCTCAGAGGTACACAGCAGAAGTCCTGCAAATAACAGACACAAGATGCAAAATGGAAAATTCCAATTAGGTTAAGGGGAAAAATCTTCACAGTTAAAAATCCCAAGGAGATGAAGCTTGGCCTACATGACCTCCAGATGTTCATTATCCTATGAACTACATTTCAGTCATAGACCAAGCTTTTATCTAGTCACATAGTAGGAGGATCCAGCTCCTGAGTGTCTCCAAGAGATAATGTAGTCTTTCTTTGCCGACGCTTCTGACACTGCAGTTTATGTCTCCCTTAATAATATTGAATTTGCAGATATTTTAATGTTGGCTTACAAGGCTGTAAATTATATATTAATATATGTACTACAGCTGAACCCAGGACATACATATTACCACAATATACCATAGTTATGCAGTACACAGAGAATTCAACAGAAATAGAATACATTGATTTGGCACTACATGCTTGGACTGATTGAAAGTGCAAGACCTGATCTTTGAAGATTCTGAGTATACACTTAATATGTATGAGACAATTATGAAAGATTCTGTGTACAGTTATGAACCATCAAAGTAATTTTAAGCAGTCAATAGGAATATTAATATACTTTATAAGTTACGCATACACTTAAGCGCCAGCGTACTCTGTAGGTCACTGATGAGTGAGCATGACATATTTCCACCCTACTCCCAGCACTAAAATAAATTAGTCAGGATCCATCTGTACCACAGATATGTAGCATAGAGATAGTCAAGATAAGTAAGCAGAATACCAGAAAGGCTCACATGAAATGGGACAGAGCTCTGCATGGTTACCTTTCTGCTGAAAACCCATGAAAATACGTTGTTCTGTCTAAAAGCTGAGCAATTGAAGCTATATTTGTGAGACTAATTTCCACTACAGCTTATGTAACTCGAACGGGTTGTTCAGCATTAGCAGATGTTGTTGTTTAACTTTGGGGCAACAGTAACCACACTTCCAGCTACTCTTTCTCTCCCAAAATCTCCAGCCAAGCTGCTACACCACTCTGACTGTAGAG